GAAACTAATTCTGCAGAGCCTGCTGGTATTCGAAATTCCTTTAAACATCAACTGTAACCGAATTAAAATTCCGCTAGACCAATTTGAAATCAAATCATAATTTCTTAACAAATGAATTGAAATCAAATTGAGATTCAATTCATTCCTATTCACTTTGCCCCAAGGATGTTTAATAGAGATTCCACACATTCCTATTAACGTTTAAATAAAGGTCCGAGAACCCCGATCATTCTTTTCATCTGGCGCCCTCCATTTCTTATTCCGGCGGAGGGGGGGGGGCCCCAAATTAATCAAGTACTCGGATTATGATAAGAAATCAAATGGGAACAGGGACCTCCTTGATTTCCTAGAGTTTTCCTTTCATTTTTTACAAAGTGTGTAGCACGTTGTATACCGGAATGTATCAAAACGAATGAAAAGGGCATTTGAAAATGATTTCCTTCGTTTCCTAAAGGTTTTTAGAATCAGAATCGTATAGAGGGGGCCCTGTCTGGCCGATCGCAATCTTTCAATCAATGTCCACTAGTGCTACATAATAACCCAGGCCGGATGCACGTTATTGTAAGGGAGACAACTTTCAGTATTGGGGGATGCGATTACACAAACTCAGCGATGCCAAAGTTTCAGTTAGCTCGAGCAGGTGTGGACCTGCAGTCGATGACATCCGACATCAACCTCTACTTGGATCCCGCGCCGTGCTTACATCGTGGCGGTGTCATTCGTGTGGCATTCCTGCGCAAATTGCGCACGTGCGCTCATGTCAGTTCACAGGTTGATCAAATCTACTACGTGGACTTTGAAGGGCCATGACCTGATGGATTCCATTTCTCCAGAGAGGCATGAGGAAACCGCGCTGGCCAGGACATATGGCACCTTACCCTTGCAGTACTACGCGGCCGACATGGCCAAGGCGCGCCCAAAATGGGGTGTGAAACGCAGAAGATGTTTGAAAGGCATGGTGCTAAGGTCGCTAAAGCCCGTTTGCGGCATGGGAGTGAGTTGCAGAGTTGCAATGTGGTTGTGGTGGTGATGGCGGTCCTAACAGAAGAAGCAGGAAAGCTCAGCACAGGCTGAAAGACAGGTGCGATTTTGAGTTCAGAGAAAGTGATGCTGCCCCGTAAGAGAGGATTTGAAGGACTTCGACGGAGCATGTGCATGCCCACATGTACTCCCTTTGCGCAGCGTGCGCTCTCCAGGTGGTGCAGAGATGCGCAGATGTTGCATCATGGGAAGGAAAGCGCCGTCAGGCTTCGTTCCCTGGTCCAGGTCAAGAGCGGTTGCAAGTTCTCCCGCCTTGTAGCGAGGTCCTCAAGGAGTCTTTCCAGCCAGCCGTTGCATACTTGATGTGTGACGCTCCAACCTTGGTTTACCCTGCTCTGCTTGCTGAACATCACTTGGCACATGGCGCTGAGGTTGTGGTATTTCTGACTCGGGACCCGCTAACATGTTAGCAAGATTTAGCGGCTAGTGGACCTGCTTTGTTGCCGGCAGGAGAAAATGGTCTGCCGGCGTGCCCTCGAGGCCGTTTTGAATGCGCAGTGCCGCTGAGCTTCGGGGTGATTCGACGGGCAGGAGTGCGAACAATTTGCACGAGCTGCGAATGCCAGGGTAGCGCCTTCCCCAAAATTGAATGGATTAGTCAGACAAAGTCAGCAGCACATCCTGATGTGACTGTCACATTGCTCCAAGTCCAGCGCGCTCCCGCCGGCACTGATCATCGTGCAGAACTGCTGCAGGCCCGAAGTTGGCAAACTGCCCTGGGCGGCCTGTGCTTGTAGCATATTATAGCATTGGCAGGCCCAGTGAGGGCCTCTTCGATCCAGACTCCACCTTAGCATTTTTAAGCTGCTGGCATTAAATCCGGCTTTGATTGTGTGGATTACGTGCGCCGTCTTTGTCTAGTCTCAGCAGCTGTTTGTGTGGAGTTCACCAAGCTGTCAGCTGGAAACCACTTTCGTATTTGTTCTCGGCGGCCGCCTAGGAGAAGTGTACAGAAGCCTTCCGTCGTGTCCGAACCGTAGCAAATGCTGACAGACAGAACAAGTGTGGCACGCAAGTGCCTGCTCGACTGCCCAGGCCCACTTCAGCGCAGGGCGTTGGAATCTTGGCCAAATCAAAGCGGTGCAGCGAGGCCAACCTCTCTGTCAGAGCGCCTCCAGACTCCTCGTCTCCTGAGGAATTATGAGGACCCTTTGGAGGGGAGCGGCCAAGTAAGCTCTGCCCAAGACTCAGGCAACTCCTGAGTAGTCCGTTTGCGTCCATCGCGCGTAATTGCAGGCAGCAGCCCAATGGGCAGAATACTTCAGGCCAAAGGGGTGTAAACTGGCATGCTAAGTCGGCGTAGCCATGATGTGTGCATTCTTTCTTTGCGTGATTACGGCAAGCAGTGTGGAGTGCAGTAACCCCACCTGTGTCAGAATGGCTGGCCCACTAGCAGTCGAGCGTAGATAGACTGCAGCGTCCCTGTACTGCACAACTTTGAGGAGCATCGACTGTTTCTGCTTGCCAGATGAGTGCGCAAGATTTGCAGCATTTGCATCGTCTTTGTCCAGCAGTTTGCCATAATTTGCCAACTCTACGTGGACAGCTTGCCAGGTACACTTTCTGCAAAAGAAGTGGGTTTGACGGAGAAGAGGTATGCAAGGAGACGCTCGCACGTGCCCCGAATGTCTCCAAACGCCCAACGTGACACCTGCGTGCAAGGACGTGCTAGCAAAGCTGAAGACTACGCTGAAAATGCGGCTCCAGGAGGCAAGCAAGTAAATATAGATAGTGTTCAGCCTTTTTAGACGGACGCCCGAGAGATGCAAGGGGCTCCCTGCTCGCACGGAGAATGGCGTTGCTCTCTCTCAGTTTCAGTGGTCCCAGCCTTACTGTCGCTTCCGAGCTCAATGTTGTCTTGGCCATCCCAACAACAGTTCGATGAGGTTCTCGGTCCTGTCCTCCCTTTGTGGGATCATCAATGACCAGGTTTCGTATGTCGTGCCCTTGTCAAGCTGTTCGAGGGCTCTTGGGCTCTTGTTTCAGGAGACGGTTGCCATGTCCGCCATTTACATCCACGCTGGTGCAGTAGCCGGTGGAGTGAATGAGCTCAAGTCACTTCTGCTCCAGATCATGCACCCTATGAAGCGCCCTGGCTACAGAATGTTAATCTCAGAGCCATGCAGTTCCTTACGCTGCTTTTTCCTAGATGAGTGTCTGCAGGCGGCCTGATGTCGTGGATCCAAAGGATTTCCAGCTCAGGCAGTCCCATCCTGCGCTTGTAGCCCAAACGTACTGTCATGGCGCTTCATCCAGGAAGAACTAGGAGGCGTGAAGCAGTGTGATATGCAGGCTCGGCGTGGCCATCGGCATCATTGCGCGATTCGCCGTTCGTCATGATTTGGCTGAAGATGAAGTCCATCAGGCGGCCCTAGAGTGATTCGGCGAACGGAGACTTTTTCTCGGACTCCACGCATCAAATTCAGGTGGTAAGATACCTCTCGATGCTGTTCCCATGTGGCGCCCTTGCTCCACCAGCAGTTGAACGAGCTGATGGAAGTGTTCAACTCAGTCTGGTGGGGGTCATTTGATATATGTTCTGCGGTTGCTGCTCAGCAAAAAACCAGTTACACGCAGCACAGTCTCAGGCAAGGACCCCGTCTATTGTGGCCAGAACCTGCTTTTCCACAAGGCTCTGGCTGACTGATGTAGTCAAGTGAGCATCTGACTGTGCAGCTGACCCTTCAAGGGGCTCCACCGATCTAGCTGTTTGGTGTGGACCTGAGGAGCGAAGCCCTTGATTCAATTTTAACTTATTCCCGGCCTTTTCCTGACATGAGTTTGGAATTTTTCCTTGGCACGGTTGATTGGTAAAAAAGAGATGCTGGCACAAAAGCTCAGGAGCTTTTGCCAAGAGAAACCTTTCTCGGCCATTCCTGCTCATATGAGCAATCTGCCCTGTTTGTAGCCAAAGCAAAAGCGTTCCAGATTGTACCGTGAACATCCTGGAATGCAGAAGTCAAAGCTGGGCCAGGGAGAAAGTTCTGCCGTGTAGCAGGTTCACGTGTTTTCTCAGGTGCGAACAGTAGAAGCTGGGTGGTTACAGCACCTCAGCGAGTGGCTTCAAGGCTGTCATGCTGTCTGATTCATCACCACTGTTGACACGCAAAGTGAAGGCGGCGTCACTTATGCATGGCCTGGGGAGCAACTTGCTTGCAATGTGGCGCAACTTGAAGCCCTTATCTTGCATGCTCACCGCTTTGTTGGCATCTACCTCCAGCTGCTGTCGCTGGCTAGGTTCTTCTGTTTGGAAAGCCTCTCAGAGGCAAGGCCATTGTTGTAGTGATCGTAGTCCTTTTCCATTTACTCAGCAAAGCCGGGGGCTTGAGAGGCTTGCAATCAAGGCGTCCTGGCCGCCTCAGTGCTCGAACAGGTGGCTTTGATGCCGCCCTCTGCTGTCGGCACTGCAAGTAGGCAATGCAAGCTGTTCGCAAGCTGGTGTTTGTGACAGGTCGAGGAGTACAAGGTTGAGAAATGCTTGGAGGCAGGCAACGCCTTTTGCCAAGTAAGGTCCTCGCTTGCCTGGCCAGGGTGTCTCTCCGAAGGTGGGCACTCCTTGGGTCTTGAAGGTCAGCTCCCTACGTCCAAGAGCTGCCTGAGTCTTTGCCAGATGAATATTCCTAGTGACACATACTGGCGACAAAACGCAGGGTACTGTGGGGCTGCAGGGAGAGGGACTCAAGCTTTTTGACGTGTACTGTACATCGTGTCAGCCTTAGCCTTGACCAACGCCGCTTGCTCAAGCCAGTGACTGAGCCCTTGCCAGCTGCCCTGCGGCACTTCAGCCAGCGAGGCATCCGACCACAATTTTGTTGATAACGCTCAAACACTTGACGCCAGGATGGTTTGATTGGCCACTGCGCTGGATTTTTGTTATGGACCCAACGCAGGCTGCACAGGCTTGGACCGGCTTGCACGGGGGTAGACATGGGCGGGCAAGCGTAGAGGGCGGCCGGTGAAGCATGCGGACGGATGAAAAAGCATGTCCTGAGGCAATAAACCCTTGTGCCCCGTGTGCCGGGGTGCCTGGGGAGCCGCAGGCCTGGCCTCAAAGTCCCGGATAGTCAAGATGCTCTCTTTGCCTCTTTCAGGCTGCAGCGCCTGGCGGCTGGAGTCAAAACGGCTTCGCGCCCCCCACTAGCTGGAGCCCTCCCGCTCAAGATCCAAATGCAGCCTGGAATGGCTGCCAGTACCCACCTCAAGCAACTCAACCGCCCCCTGCCCAGCAACAGCCACCACAGTTCCAACCGCAGCTGCAGCCTCAGCAGCAGATGCCGCCACAGATGCAACCACAGCAGTACCAACAATATCCCCCGGCGCACTACCCGCCCCAGCAGTACCCGCAACAGTATCCCCCGCAGTATCCTGGCTATCCGCAGCCTTGCCAGCCAGCGCCGGTTCCAGCACAGCCTGTGCAGTACCCTGCACAATGGCCAGGACAGGCTGCGCCTGCCATGCCTGCCCCAAACGGTGCTGGATGGACTCTTGGATAAAGCTTCATTGGCATGTTCTAGTGCAAAAGCTGTGGTGACTACGTAGGGCGCATGCCTGTCTAAGCAGCAGCTCAGGCCAAGCCAGCCCCCCGGCCAGGTTCCCGGCCAGGTTCCCGGCCAGGTTCCTGGCCAGGTTCCTGGCCAGGTTCCTAGCCAGCCTCCTAGCCGTGCCTAGACTTGAATCGCCAAACATGAGCTGAGATGTCATCCAAAGATGGTCAGCTCATGTACCATGGTACACACTGAACAGGTGCTATGTCCATTGCGGAAGCATGTGTCGCTGCCGCTAGCTCTGCGGCCGGCGAGACAGTCCAGGCTTGCGGAGCCCCGCTCTCTTGACAAAAACGCATGAGATGAGAAGAGCCATGTCCTTGTGACAGGACACAGATGTTAGAGTCATCGATTATGATGAGCGAACCTCGACTACATTTCGACTACTTTTTTCATTGGCACGAACGAGCTTCATTAAGATAATTTGCCGTGCTGCTGTGGGCTGATAAATGAACGCAAGCAACGTCGGCAGCAAAGGTCCTCTTCCTCTGCACAAGTTTTGGTCTTTTGACCAGTGTGTTACCTGGCCGCGCTCCAGTCGCTGATCCGTCGCCTTTCGAAATATTTTGGCTGGTCTTGCCGGGCATGCGTCTGGCGATCCAAGGCTCAATTCTTCCCTCCCAAGCTCATTGAGGAACTGAAGAAGTCCTTCCCTGCGCCATCGCAGATTCAAGCTTTCACATGGCCATTGGCCTTGTATGGCAAGGACAACTGCTGCAATCTAGTCATTTCCAGGTAGGGCAGGGCCGGAAAAACCAGGCTGCCTCCCCAGACTTAGTCCCAGACTTGTGCAATCAGCTTGAAGCCTGCCGTTGGCTTCAGTAACGCGTCAGGATGTAATTGGCATTGCTGCAACGGGCAGCGGAAAAACGTTGGCATTCTTATTGCCAGCCTTCAGCAGCCGCGGCTGCAACAGATTTAGCTCCAAAGTTTTGTTTGTGCAGTTCATCACTTGAGGCGATTGTCTGAAGCGCGGTACGTTCATACTTAACCAAAGTCTGCAACAAGCTTGCCCAGGTGATTTCTACAAGTCAGGCCTGTGTCCCATAGAGGGAAGCAGACGAGCTCGTCGGGCAAATGCTCTTGCTGGTGTTTTTTGCTGGGTTTTCTTTTGCCAGGCCTGCAGCCACAGCGTGATGGCGTTGGGCTTGTCGTGATGTCGCCGACCCGAGAACTTGCACAGCAAATCGAGGTATCTGTCGAGGGATGCTGCGTTACACGGCATCAACCCAACATTTTTTCAGGGCAGTGTTGGGACAGGTGGAAGCCAACCGTTTTGGCAAATGCCTTGGGATGTGGACCGCCGCTCGTGACGCAATGTCGGATGCACGTCCCCATCACTCCTGCAAGTTTTTCACTTGTTAGAATGCTGTAGCAGTTTGCGTGCACACTGGCGTGCTTCCCTCCCCAGGTTGCAATGTATGGAGGGGCGCCAAAGTGGGACCAGTTGAATAAGTACAAGCAGGGAGTCCATGCCATCATCGCATGCCCGGGCCGTCTCAACGACTTCATTGAAGGGCGACAAGTGCAGGTCCTCCAGCAGAATCTTTTGGTAATCAAGCGATGCAGTGGACGCGTGGTATCACGTGGCTGTATGCGACCTTGACCGTGCTAATGTTCATGCTGCCTGAGGTCAGCCGTGTGCGGAAGCTGGTGGCTGGGATTGATATAGCACGCTTGTCAGCAGCAGAGCCTCCTCAGACCAACGGATAAAGAAGTTGTTCAGTGGATGCGCTGCGGGCTACGACTTGAGGTCTTGGACGAGGCCGACAGGATGCTGGACATGGGCTTCGAACCCCAAATTCAAAAGATCCTCCAGCACATTCCGCCAAGCAGACATACAATGTTTTTCACGGCGACCTGGCCACGCGAGGCACTGGAGAGGGTCAAGCGTCATGCGAACGTGATTGTCAGTACTGCAGGTCCGCCAGCTCGCCGCCACCATGATGGGACAACCAGCAAAGGTCATGATCGGAAACCGCGACGAGCTGAAAGCAAACCAGGAGCGAAGCCGGCGAAGCCTGGCCAACCCGCCAAGGGCGTGCTATGCCTGCTATGCTCCGTAGCCAAAGCGCAGAAATCTTCAAGTTTGCATGATCTTGCGCCACGCAGTCCTGCAGGACGTCACGCAGCAAGTTCGTCTTGTTGAAAGCGCTCGCAAGAGAGGTGCCGTCCTGGAGTTGCTTCAGGAAGCAGGCCTGATGGAACAAGGCACCTCGCAAGCATGAAGCAGAGAACATAGCAAGTGTTTCAAGTGTTGTGAGCTTTTGCAGATCACTGACGAAGGTGCCGTCGGGAAATGCTTGATTTTTGCGAGCACAAAGAGGATGTGCGAAGACCTGTCGAAGCAACTATACCAGTGTGGCGTGTCCTGCTCTGCTATCCATGGAGACAAGGACAGCCTGCAAAAGCAAATGGGGGTGTGCCTCGAGTCCTCGAGTGGCTTTGGCCTGCTCCTTCGCACTGCTAAGACAGGACCAGCGAGAACGAGATATGGCTTTGAATGGTCTCAAACAGGGGCGTCTTCGAGTCTTGGTTGCTACTGACGTAGCAGCTCGAGGCTTGGACATCAAAGGAGTTGGTCTCGCGGTTGCACTTTAGTCAAAGGCACATAATGACGCACATTGGCTCTTAGGGCGTCAAGTACGCTTGCTGAAAGGTTTGGTGATCAACTACGATGCAGACGCTTGGAAGTGAAAAATGTGAAAGCTGCTGTCTTGCAAGTCCATGCGATTGATGGAGAAGGTCTCTTTGCATGCTATTCCTGCGTTGAGCTGTGCAAGCTTGCTTTCCTTTTCACCTTGTATAATCTCACCCGCAACGGCCCAATGAAATGAAACTTGTTGGCGTTAGCAAATCTCATCAAGGTGCTGTTTGGGAAGTGACTATTCCAGCTTTATTTTCTGTTGAAAAATTAGGCAGAAGCAGATCAGATTTTGATGGTTTGTATCGAGCATCGAATAACTATATCAGAGAAAAGCCAAATCGCAACCTTCAGGCTTTCTACCCCGCTTGGGCTCTATTCCGTTATTTGGGCACTATTGGGATTCTGTTTGGAAGGAACAAGTTTAATATTGGATCAATCTGGGCCTTATTGTTAGTACTGGGATTTTATTTGGTGTCTGTTTTCTGTAATTGTGCATTTTGGCGGTACTATTTGGCTTCTATTTGTGCTTTACTTTCACTATTTGAGCACTGTTTGGGTGCTACTTTCACTACTTGGGCACTATATGGCGCCTATGTGGGCTTTATTTTCACTATTTGGGGCCGATTTGGGCTCTGTTTATTTTCACTGTTTGAGCACTATTTGGGACATCGGTCTATATGGGCTCTGCGTTCAGTATCTGGGATCTATGTGGCACTATTCTGGGTCTAGTTCGGAACTGTTTGGGCTTTGTGTTCATTGCTTGAGCACTACTTAGTCCATTTGGGATCTATTTGGGGTCTATTCGGGGTATATGTGAGCTTTGCCTCACGATTTGGAGTCTGTTTGGGGTGTATCTGGGCTCTGTTTTCACTGTTTGAGTATTCGGGTTCTACTTGGGCATTCTATTTTCACTATTTGAGCCATCTTTGGGCAGCATTTGAGCACTATTTGAGCATTATTTTCATTCTGTTTATCACTATGCTGTCTCGATTTTGGGTTTATTTGAGCACTATTTAGCGGCCACGATTTGACATCTTTTGATGTGTAGTTGGTCTATGCCACTATTCGGGGTTTATTTGGCGGTCAATTTTGGCTTTGCATGTGGGTTGACTTCTTTCAATTTCAAGCCCAAAGTTGACCCCAAATAGCTTGTTCCTTCATTATTCTGGATTGTGTCCAGAAGCAAAAAGGGACTACTTGAAGGGGGGGAGTATGGGGGGTAGTTCCACACGCCTTTGATAGAAAGACGAATGACGACTCATTTGCTTTTTTCCCTGTGTGGGACCGACCCTTCGCATGCCGTTTTTGATGCGGCTCTGCGCCGGATAGATTGAAGGTAGTTCAACATGTTTGGGCCAAGGCAAACAATTCAGAGGATTATATCCACCGCATTGGACGAACTGGTCGAGCTGGAAAGAAGGGCTACGCCATCACGTTCCTGTCCTGGGAGGATAGGGGCAAAGCCTCCGGCATCATCCAGGCTGGAATCTTGTGCCTTTTGTTGCTGTAGGTTCGTGACGAGTTCTTGAGGCACCCACGCCAAGGGGTGAGTTTTGTCACCTTTGGACCCTTCTTTTGGGGCCACCGTCAATTTGCTGTTTCCTTGGAGCTGTGCGGAGGCGATGGAGAGTACTAACCAACACATCACTGACGAGCTCAGAGACTTCGCCAGGCAAGGCGGTGGTGGTGGAGGTCGGCACTACCGTGGTGGTGGCGGTGGGAAAGGCTCCTCCAAGGGCTCCTCCAAGGGCTGCAAGTGGTGCGCCAAGGGCGAGTGCTGGACCCATGGCGAAAAGGCATCGGGCCGCAATCGGAGCCGAAGCCCTCGCAGGCGATAGCGGCGATCATCTGGAGCATGCCAGACAATTATTCTTCTTGCGGGGTCCAATGAGCTCGCTCCACACGCATATAGACGTTGTGGCAGTTAATCTCAATCTCTTAATCTTGGCATGGAAGCCAAGTTTCACAGTTCCTCCTGGCCATCAGATATGTCATGATGCGTGCCTCAACAGATAGCAGATAGCAGATCTTGTGGTTTTGCCTGGCATTATTTGACAGTTGGAACAGGGGGGCATGAGGTCAAGGAATCAGGATTGTCTTGAGATGCTGCGACGTTGGGAAAATGCAAGCCTGTCTTGCACTTTTTTAGAACGTTTCAGAACAGATGGAAATGAGCAACTTGCAGAAACTTGGCAAGGCTCACGGCAGTCTCTCTGCCAGCGGACTGAAGGTGCCAGATGTTCACTCACTTACATGCCTGCCGCACGCCCCCTTTAAGATTCTTCAAGACCAGGTCATGCAGGACGCTTCGCGGCTGTGTGCAGTGTGCACCGATGCTGGTTGCGGCCCCTGATCCTAAGCAATGGTAGCACATGCAAGCGGTTGCCGTAGTTCACTTAGGCTCTGATGCAACAAGCCTTTGGAAGCTTTGGGCTGCGTACCCTGCTCAATATCGGTGCTGGAGGAGGCATGAGGTTGGCCTGCTTGTGCATGTGGTTGCTATGAGGTCATCAGGTGACTTCCTGCCCGTCTGCCTGACACTCACCATAATCGTGCGGGCTCGCTACACGCAATTATTTTTGACATAGGTGGTCATTGCTACTCGATCATGGAGAGCAACGACCTGTGCAAGGCTGAGGGTACGCTTCACAATGCAGATCTTGGTTGTCTTGTACTCGCTCACTTGTGTGCAGGGTGCCACTGTTGCCCCAGCATCGATAAACATCATCAGGGAAGGCCGGTGACATACTTTCTCTGCAGAGTGTGGGCGTCTCTATGGCTGTGTCATGTACCTGCGGCTGTAGTCTTGGTAAGTCTTCTCAGCAGCTTTCTTGAACCTGTTGAAGTCCCTGGGCCATGCACAGGCCGAAAGTGTGAAGCCTGTGCGCAGAAAAGCGGAAGAGTCATTGTGACCGAGGACTACGTCAGTTCAACAGCGTGTCAATTTATCTGCCAGCGCACATTAGGCATTCTGGTGATTCATGCTGTCACGGAGGTTTTTGTGCCGCAGCCTTGCGTTCTGCTAGATCAGCTTCGACAGTAGGAATGCCCGAATGCCATGGGATGGGGAAGAAGCAAAGGTGGCAAGAATAGAGAAAGCGATGCGGCACCATCTGCTCCTCAGACATCTGGTTTCTTCGGCGGCGGTGGCTATGCCGCCTGGCAACAGTTTCGGACCAAAGTAGGATGTGGTTGTGTTTACAGTCCACGCCATATGGGAAGGCTTTCGTCAGTGAGTCGCAAGCGAAAGCAGCAGACTTTGAAGCAGCAATGGCCCGTATTTTCACGCGCCCGGTTTAAGCGACATCTAGCTGAGAGCTGGAGCAGTTTTGCTCTGACCAATGCCTGCGCCATTGTTTCGCTCAGAAGCTTCCGACCGGAGCACCTTTGTTCAGACACTTTCTTCCAATGTTAGGCGGATTGCGAGGTAAAGGATGTTACTTCAAGGTGGGTAGTATGGATGTTTTTGGGGTTGTTGGAGTTTTTGACTAGAGGGTTCTCACGGACTCGAAAACCCTCCGGCCGGGCACCGGCACGTCAGTGTAAAAGCTCTCTGCTCTGTGTATCTCGAGAAAGCTCTTCAGCAGCGCAGGTGTGTGCGTCAGAAATTTGAGGCTTGTTCCTGTTGCGCTGAAACTTTGCCACATTCCCTCCGAAGCAGCAGATTGTAACCTGGAAGCTGAGGCATCATTCGGAGAGCCTTTGACTGCACAGTTCACTCCACGTGACTGGTCACTTCGGGTGGGAATCTTTGTGGCAGCCTGGCGGGGTCTTAGGACTATATGGTTGAGAAGAATCGGAAGCTCAAGGAGCAGTTCGCAGCTGCCGCTGCTTCAGGGAGCCCAGGCGGATGAATGACAAGATGTTTTCTCAATCCATGAATCGCCCGTTCAGGTATCTGAAAAATTCGGATAGTGTAAGTGCTCGCAAGGGTCACAAGACGACCTTTTAACGCAACAACATCTTTTCATCCTCCCCTTACCCCCCCCCCCCAATGGCCCCCTGCGGCAGGTGAAGGAAGCAAAATCTTTTCAGGTCTTAGCTTTTGGATGACTGGCCGCACCTGCTTACCGGACCAAGAGCTGAAGCGCATTATTGTGGAGCATGGTGGTAACTTGGAGCTTTGATTGCCATTTCCCTGAACTGTCGTGTAGTCTTGTTTTGGAGAAGTATCCTCAGCCTGATTCCAGGTGTTTACGAGCAGTATGGCTTCATGCACGTTACGCACATCATTGCAGACAACCTTGCATCCGGAAATCAGACGTGGGCAGAGCTGAAGAAACGTGCGAAACGGATCCATGTGGTAACATCATCCTGGGTCACGGCCTGCGTTCAAGAGGGGCGCCGTCACCTGACTCAATTCGGACACAAATGTAGCGCTGCTTTGCTCAGCTGTCGCTGGTTACCAGATAGTTGAGGCCTACCAGAAGCTCGCTGCTTGCCTCATATGGTTCGACTATGTTCCTGGCACGACTATTGCATATGATGCATTGGTATGTTGTTCACAAGAGAGAATCCACGGCTATTCGGACCAACCACTACGGGAAAGTGGAACATCTGAAGTCATCACCCAAATCGCGTATTCCAAGCGGACGTGATGTGTTCTGGTTATGATCATTGTCGACCATCGTTGTCATCAGTTCTAATCTGCGCCTTTCTGTTTCGCATTCGTAGCATTCCGACTTCCCCACCAGTGCTCCCAACCTGACACCGCAGGTAGGTGGGGTAGGGGGAGATGATGTTGATGTCATTCGAGGGAGGGTGAGGGAGGGTGAGGGCTCCCCGAACCGTGCATGCTGAGGCTCAGCACGCATTCGAGAACTATGAATCCTTGAGGTCTCTATCCATGCAGATGTCACAGATGTCAGCCCAGGCTTCATGCCAAAGTGCTTGTCGTCCGGGTCTTCGATGCTTTCCTTTGTGGACCAGTCAAAAGATGCTCAGAAACTTGGTCTGCAAGAAGCTGTTCTTCTCAAACCGTGCAGATGTGAGACCGTGCTGCATAAGACTTTACAGCACCTGGGTGTTCACGGCAGCTTCATTTGAATGTGGGACTGAAGTGTGCAAACCCGCCGGTGCTAGATTCGGCCCAATAATGGCCCAATGAATGCCTTTCGAAGCCGCTGGCTTCCTATCATGATGGCTTCGCATGGCTTAGCGACTGGGCGCGCTACGCCGTCACTTACTCGGCTTAACGGTGAGAAGATATCTGCGGAGTGGCTCTCTGAAGTGCTGCAGAGGGCAGAGGCACAAGGTCAGCAGCCGCTTAGCTCAAGCAAAGTCTCTTCGGTCAGTTGGGATGGCAGCACAGCCAAATTATGGCCGCAGTCGCATTCAATGGAGCTGCTCTTGACTCTGGATGACTCACTGCCGGCTCGTCTCTTCTTGAAGAAAGTCGATGCGCAGCACATGACGGGAAAGCCTTTATCCTCTCTGCGTCGAGACTTGACATCCAACAGAGTGGAAGCAAGGTGGTACAAAAATTTCTCCTCGGAAATTCAGAAGAGGGGTGTTCCTCTATTGCGTTCGCCGCTGGTCGATGAGCAGTTGGACTGCCTGGACTACGCAGAGGGAAGCGAGGGTGAAGATCAGGCCTTGCGTCAAGGCAAGATGATGCTACTGCTGGAGTGCGTGGACCAGGCAGCCTACATACAACAATCTCCATTAAACATGCAGCAGGCGAGTCAAAGCCTGAGACTTTTGGCAGGATTTCACGCGGCTGCCTGGGAAGATCGCGGCTTATTGCAGGAAGCGTCCAAAAAGCTTCACGCTCAAGGCTGCTATTGGGCATTGTCCCGGCGAGGTGAAGCTGAAATGCAAAAACTGCAGCAAAACTGGGCTGCATATCTTCGAGCGTTCGAGCCACATGCTCCGGATTTGCTCAGCCAACCAGGCATTCGAAATCTTGGGCAGCGCTTGGAAAGTATCGCGCCATGGGCGGCCGCTGAGCTACAGGCTTCGCCAAACGATGCTTTTGCAACATTAGTGCATGGAGACTACAAGGCAATGAACTTGTTTCTGCCAGTTGATGAGGCTGGCGACCTACTGCTGATTGACTTTCAGTGGACCGGCGTTGGGTTTGGAATGGCAGACGTTGCAATGCACCTTTCACACTCTGTTGTCACAGACGCGCTGTTGTCTCATGAGGAAGACATGGTTCGCATGTATCACTCCTTACTGATAGATAGCCTCAAGACCCGCGGCGCTGCTGCGGCTGCTAAAGCTTACACGCTGGAGACAGCACTTCACTATTACAAAGTGGCCTTCCTGGATTATGCGCGCATGGTCATGAGCTGCTTCTTCCACAATGCCTCGCCAGAAGCTTTTAGAGCCAGAGGCGACAATCCAAACGTGGGATTCGTCTACCGCAATGTTGAGGCATCTCTTCAATATATTCAGATGATTGATCGGCACCTCACATCGATGGAAGTCTGCCAAGCTGGAGAGCATCAAGCTGCCCGATCACGGTCTCCATGCTCCCGACCAGGGAAATAAATAAGTCATAAAACGGGGGAAGCGTTCACGTGCCATTTCTTGTATTCTGCAGCTCAAGCAAGAGTCTTTTCGTATGGCTAGGTAGATCATCCGCCGTGCCTGCCAAGGAAGACGCAGGTAGCCTCGCCAGAAGGCGACTTGTTCAATCGTTGCTTACTCGGAACATGAAGCACAGCAGTGCCTTCCCTAAAATTAAGGCGGGCAGCAGTGTTCTTCTGCGTCAATGCTAGCTCCGGAACCTGGAGGCCAAGATCCACAAAATGCCCAGCTGAGCGGTCTGAGCCAGAGTTGCGCAGGACATGTTGCTCATTGTCGGCACCCTGCCTGACATGCTACAGTCGCTCTCAGAAGCCACAGCACTAGAGCGCCAGTAGCTTCTCTGCCTGACGAACAGAGAGAACATGACAAGGTCAGGTGATGCCGAGTGTACCAGCGCAGCTGAGCAGATACTGGCAGCCTACTCAGCTTCTGTAATATAAAGCGACGTACTTCATGTACAAGCACCCCAAACTAGACGGGTTTCTTCATTCAAGCGTGGTATTGTTGTGTGATGTAGAAGCCTATTACATCTTTGTGGCCTTATATGCAACCAGAGATGTCTCTGAGAAACCACTGCATGTTGCAAGCATGCCGAGCCAACTTGATCTGTATCACAGGTAGAAGAGGTGGACGATCAGTTGGCACCGGCAAGAAAGAGACGAAAGTCCGTGGTATCCGTGGATTCTGAAAATCTCAGCTGCTCAGCCTGCAAGCAAGTCGCCAATTTCCACACGCAAGTTGGACCTCTGACCGCTCGCTGTGCCAGGCCAAACACCTAGGCGAGCTCAGCAAAGCTTTTCAACATCAGCGCTGGCTTTTGAGGCAAGCAGGAGAGGGATTGTGCAGTATTGTTGTGATGGCTGTACACACCAGGCCTTTAAAGTTACGCGCTTTGGTGCTTGACACGCGTAGCATCTGAATTTTGAATGCTTTCGTTCAACATCTAAATGCTGCAGATGATCTGTTTCGATGGACCCTGCAGCTGTTCCAGGTCAACACCTCGTGCACTGAGGGCCTGGATGGATTTGTTGAGTTGCTCGAGGTGATTTCAGATCTAGCCACCAGCGCCGCTCAGCAGCTGAGATGCTTATCTGCAAGCATCTGCAAGCATCTCGAGTGCGCCAGTCACAAACATTTTCATGTTGCCACGTTAGAGGTCAGACTGGACGGTGTGCCGCAGAAGTCGGGCTGAAGATCACTCTGGGACAGCGGCAGGCGGAATGGAGTGGTGCTTGGCTTCAAGCTTCATGTCTAGACTATCAAGCGTGAATGCTCTCAAAGTCAAATTCGCCACTGCCTTGACAGCCTCGGGCATCCAGGAATAGGGTTGATAGAATGCAACCTAAAAGATCCAGTGCTAAATCAACGTAGAGTTGTTGTGACTTAGAATTTGCTGTTTCTGGGGCAGGGATTAGGTATTAATTGGCTTGGGCGCGTTTCAGCCCGCCTGTGTGTAGTTTTTATGATCAGAGCGCTGACGGCCGCGCATTGAGTGGCTTATGTTATTGTATGTTTGTGTGGCGCATGTCAAAAGCTCAGGCGTGTCAAGCCTGGGTGATGGGGGCCAAACAGGGCTGATTACTAGCCTGACCTCACTGGCGCATCGAGCAGTGGCAGCTTTGGGCCTGGGTGCGGAGCCACAGGGAAAGGCCCACGGCGACCCCGACGCTGGTTACCGTGCAATCTGCCACGTGGGCATCCAACTTCATTTTGGTCATGGCTCGGAGGCGACTGCTTGCCAGGGGCCAGCCAGTGCGGTGACTCCAAATCAAGATAGTCGAGAGGGAGCCAGGGAGGCCACAAGTGCGGAGGACATCTGTGGAGGAGGCAAAGGACCAGCTCCACCCTTTCAGCCCTTAGCAAGTCTTCGCCAAGATGCTGGCTCTCCAACTGCACTTGTCCTGACTGGCCAAGCAACACTTGCTTCAGCTTCTGAGGCTTGATCTGCAATCCCTCCACCACACCAAACGTTGCTAGGCTATGCTAGGCTTTGATGATGGCAAGTGCTGAAGTGGTGGGCTGCCTTACCCGCCAGCTCTGTTAAGGTGCGGCCGCAGCAGAGTGACCATCGACGTCGCTGGAAGGTCCTGCCTGTATGGGCTGGGGATGCTGCTCAGCCCAATTCCTTTGTGTCCCATCAGCTGGTGCTCTGAGGTTCCGCGAGGTTCCGCTTAGCGGCTTAGCATGTGAATTGCAGGCCAGCGCATCGGAGCTGGTCGAGCATTGGCGGGCAATCTGCCATCGAGTGCAGGGCCAACCTCTTGCAAGAGCTTTGCTGAAGAAAATGCTTAGATGTGGAGCAGCCAAGGCATGCAGACAGGAGGGCTCCAAGAGTGGCACAAAGCTTGCCGCCCTCAAGCTGCGAGTCCGGCTTGCCACTCAAGTGTGACTGCAAGCCTGGACTTGCATGCGTCTTGGCACTGAGACACAGTCTCGTCCCGCTTGTTTGTTTGAGTAGTGGCAGTGCACATGTGTTGGATGCGATGCTGTTGACGTCACTGGGCAAGGTGACAGCATTTGAAGAGCTTCTGGCACGGCAAGAGTATGAGGCGCGCATCTGTTCAGCAGCATGCTCAACAGCAACCCTGCAGCTCGTTTGGAGAATCACAGCTGCAGCGCAACCAGAGTTATTTCAAGACTGGGCTACCATTGGCAGAGTGATGCTTGGATGGATTTGGCCGTGGCAGCATTCCGAAGCGCAGGTTGTTCAGTTGGCTCTGCGGGCACTACGTGCAGCTGTCAAGAGCAAAGTGGCTTGCACGCTCCGTGGTGACGGTGACTTGGTTTTGCGCAAGACAAGCAAGCACTTGATGAAAGATTCTTCTTGGAGCTTTGGCAGCAAGTAGCTACCAGGCATCACGCCCAAGGGCGTGATTCGGTTCATGCTTGCAATTGGGGGAGCTGTCCAAGTGGCGGCGTCTGGACCTAGCACGCACGCGCGCCAACACAACTGGAGCAATGCACGCAGACAAGAGTGCGCGAGCGCGCCCACCTCTGTGCCCCACCTGTCGCACGCCGGCAAAACTCTGGAATAACACTTAAGCCTGACCCGAATCCTGGTATGGCAGTGTCAGTCTTTCAGAGCCCCAGCTTTCGGCAACCCAAGACGAAAAAGAAGCGAAGCAAGAAAGAAGCAGGCTTAGATGGCCTAGATGCTCCTGCACTAGCGGCTGTAACACGCAGTGCACTTCCCACAGATCGACCCCGCATTCAGATGCAGGAAATTCAGAGATATTTGGCTTAGATGAGGGGCTCGGCCACCTGCTGCAAGCCACGCAAAAATTATCTACTTGTAGGATAGCTGCTGCACCTGGTAGCGGCCTTGATGCTGGCACAATTTGGGAGCTGCTGCCAGGCCAGCTGCCGACTCCTGCGCACTTCAATGCTCTCCTTTCGGCTGTGCAGTTGGCTTTGATCAAGGGCAGAGGGGCTCGCTTTAAAGTGGCCCCTCTGCTGGCAGAAGCTGCAGAAGAAGCGTCGGACCTCAACTGCGAGTTGAAAACGTGCCTTTGTGAGTTGTGACATGTTGTGACTCGCTAGGGCGGCGGGACATGCTTGCCAAGCTGTGAGCCTGCACTTGAAAAACTCATCAGGGGCAAGTGCCTATGGAGAGCAGCAAAGCTGACCATCGACTGCAGCCGTGCAGGCCAGGGCTGCCTGGTGCTGCCTCCTAAATGCTCGGATTTTTTGATGGTCTGCTACTGTATCTTGGCAGGTGTCTTGTTTGTCGGAAATGTGCTGTGGGCGTCTCAGAGCTTTGGCACGTATGGCGAGCAAAGTAACCCGGCTTACGTACATGTACATGCGGTTCGCACAGTTTTTTTCTGCGCAGGAGAAAGTCGCCTGGAACGAGCGGTCAGTCGGACCCTAGACTTCTGTTTGGGCTGGCTGATAATAGCCAAATCTCTGAAAATGGAGGCATGCCCAATTTGTGGGATGCGTGTGCAGTGGCTGGCGGACGAGAGGGTTGGGCGCTTTGCAAGGGCCGCAGGACATGAGAGATTGCACATGGGCATCCACATAGGCCTTGATTGCCACGGGCTGGCGGGTGACCCGACCCACCACCAACAGGCTGCTGGATTGTATGGGGCCATGTGACCATGTGCAAACACAAGCCAGCATGCTAGCACGCGAGCCAGCTGCCTTGATCTCCCATTGTTTCTGACAGGCAAGACAAGTGTGGGATTTGCGTGAGTCGCGCAAAGTGATGATGCTCCTGCGGGTGTTTGTGCGAAATATTCTTGTTAACTTGTACGTCGTTGTTTCACTGATTTTCCACGACCATTGCTGCACTTGCCGCGCAGCGCTTGTGCGCATTAGCGTCGCATTAGATTAGTGGAGCGTCCTGCAGGATGAAGACGCATAATGATAATATGCAAAAACTCGAAGGTAATAACTCTAATACGATTGATGTATACCGCAACGAATGAATTTGCATAATCTCTCTCATAGTTTTACCGCTAACGCGAGACCGCCTCGGCAAAGCTAGTGGAGGCTCGGGCTGGCAATGAAGGGTCAGCGTGGAACGCAACTGACTGGGCTCGAACGTTCTGACCTGTTCGCCCAACCTGCAGCTCGCTTTCCTCCCCTCCCCCCCTTTCCCCCCTGCCCCCCTCGCCGTTCCTCCCCCTCCCCCCCTCTTCTCCATTTTTGGCGGCGCCCAGAAGGACGCGGCCCAAGGATTCGGAAATCCGAAAATTCCTCCCTACCCTTCTCCGAAACCTACGAAAAACGGACCCGATCGCGCATACCCGGATCGTACGCACTAGGAGGTCGTAGGGGGCGGATTCAACTTATTCTTCTTCCGGCCTTAGATTTGAATATCATATAAATTGCGGATTCTAATTTTTCAGCTTCTGCCTAAATCGATTCTAAATTCCAAAAGATATCCTATTAGACCCGCCCATAATCGCTCATGTTCATAATGCTACGCTTGAATACATCTAAAATAAATCTCTAGAATTTCTCGGCGATATTTCGTCTATGCTTAAAAATCGACATAAATTTCTTTTAAAATAATTTTGCTTCTAAATTTCTAAAATATATATTCATATTTGATTATTTATAATATATTTTTCTAAATCTTTCTGATAAGATTTCGATCATATCTTAAATAATTCGAGATCAGCTTCAAAATATTCTCGATTGCTTCCAATTATTATTAGATCTTCTAAATTGCGTTTAGAATTCTATTTTAGAGCTGCTAAATTATTTTTATTTTTTCAAAATTTTCGAAATTATTTTCATTTTTAAATTCTACTTATAAATATATTTTTTGAATTGCATCTAATGCTTCGAAATTATTATAATATTCTTCTTCTAGATCTTCGAAATTATCTTTAAACTTTTATTCGAGATCTTCTAAATTGATTTTATACTTTAAATCTAAATTATCTAGATTATTTAAATTGCTTTTCTATATTCGTCAAATTATATCCAAATTCCTATTCTAGATCTTCTAAATTGATTCTAACTTCTTTTCCCCCCCCCCCCGCCCCCCCCTTCCTCCCCCAATGAGCGGAAAATTTGAAGGGCGAAAAATTTTAATTATATCTTATCGTAAAAAGAGAATTTGAAGGATTGGGACGAAAGACTTTGATATAAGAAACGGAGACTTTAAAGGATTAAGGCTAAATGATCTAATCGCAAAAATAGAGAATTTGAAGGATTAGGGACGAAAAAAACTGATCGTAAAAACGAAGAATTAAAAGGATTAGGGCAGAAGATTCTGATTATAAAAACGAAGGATTGGGAGAAAAGAATCTAATTATAAGAACGATAAAATTGAAGGATCGGGGCGAAAGAAACTAGCCATAGATATGATATTTTTGATATATTAGGGTAAAAAGATCTATTCAAAAAAGAATTCTCTTATAGATATAGAGAAGCAAAAATATGACCGCAAATATAAAGAATTTGAAAGATTTGGATATAAAGAATGATTTTGAAGATATAAAAGCGAAGAAATCTATTCCTGGAGAGAATATTCTTTCATTTTCATATTCATATATGAATATAGAAATGAAATAAGATCATACTTTATAATTCAAAATATTGAGATTTTGAATATTCGTATCCTATAGAATCATCGAAAGATATATTTTCTCGAGATGAATCTGATAATTAGATGGGGAATTGATTTTAGATTTATATAGAATTATTGATATCATTATAAGATATAATTCTATTCATGAAAATCAAGAATATGAAAATTATTAGGATTTTCATTGAATGAGATTTCAATAATTCCAAATTCATATATAATTTTATAAGAATTGATATTCAGAAATAGATAGCTAAGATATTGCTAGATATTACGAATAATCTAGATTAGGAATATATCTCTAATATATCTATTTCTAAGAATTCAAATTATATAATTTTCATTATTTAGAAATTAAAAAAATCTAGATTGATAATCTTCCTTTCTTCTCTGGAATAGAATATTTCTGGGAGATTTCGGATTGGCAATCCTTCTAGATAATCTCTCCCAGGCTATCGACGCAACGAATTGGAGGAGCGCAAATATCCCCGTAGATATATATAATCGTCTTATATATTTTAAAAGATTTTGATTCTCCATCTCGAATCTGGGGGATCCGCCGAATAGCTAAAAAAGATATAAATCATATAGAAAATAACTCCGGAGATATGGATCGCACGACCCAAAATCTCCGAATTTTTTAGTCGTATCATCTATTTCAATAAATTCGAAGAATTTAGAGACTCTAGCTTTTCCGAAAGGCTCTAAGATCTCCGAGATTTTAGAGTCCCTAGGGAATTAGAAAAATCAAATCGCGCATGAATGAAATAATTATAAATCATCGCGTCAATATATTGAGATAGATTTCTATAATATTCCTTGAATTCATTTTTGCTGATTATATCATTCATATCTTTATTCAATTATATATTTATTATATCATATTTCATGATTTCCAAAATTTTCAATCATATAATCATAGAATGAAAAATATATCTAAATAAGATTCCTATATATAATATCTTTTTATTTCAAAAAAGAAGTCAAGATTTCTATATATATATAATATTCTTAAAAGAAAGAAAGAATTTTTTCGATTCTTATCAAGATATATTTTCACGATTATATATATCATTCAAAAAAAAATTTGGAATCCAATTCTTCTTATAAATATTGATTTTTAGATTTCATATTTTTGATTTTTTCCAATTTTTTAAATAAGATAATTTCTTATATATTTTTCTATATATAATGAGAAATTTCATATCACTCAATGATAATCATCAAAAAAGATTTGAAATGATAAAAACGATCAATCTATAGATTTTATAAGATTTTAGATTTCCATCTCGGATCTATATGTCTTCCGAGCCTCCGCACAGACCAATATAGAAAGAGAAATGATACGAAATCCTGAGAGATTTTTGATCGTATCTCTTCCGTCTCCATTCGTTTCGCCTCATTTATTTCTCTTGGGATATCTGCGCAACGATTTGGGAGAGATCATGAATCTCCACGATCAGATACGGCCAACTCATAAATTCTATAAGACTTTGCTTCTCCGTCCTGAATCTTTGCGCTCTGCTGAGCAGCCGCGTAGATATCCAAAGAAAGATAAATCACGCGGAAAATTGCTCCGGAGGCCTTTCGACCTAAATTCTCCGAGACTTCTAAATATATCATCCATACCAAAAAATTCCAAGAATTTAGAGACTCTAATTTTTCCGAAAGGCTCTAAAATTGGAAAAACTAAGCCGCATACGAACGAAATGATCGCAAGGAGCCACGCCATAATAGAATATTGAAAGGCTAGAATTGACCCGTTGCCTAGAATAATGACAATATTTATTTGAGAAATCTTAGAATAGAAAATCCAATGATCAATCAATATATAGACTCGCACCAATAATCTCATGATTTATCAAGATCTTAAGCCCGCACGTAATACATAAATTCTGAAAGATTTTAAATCTCC